AACCGGTATGCCGCAACGGGGCCGGGCGTCCATCACATGCACGTACACTGCGCACAAATGCGCACCACTGCCCTGCGATGGTCCAGCTGCTTGGCAGAGCATCGCACAGGTGCCGTACGCTGCGTGTGCATGTGCAAATGCCCCAGTCAGCTCAAATAGAAATAAGGAGAGCGGGCAGGTGAGCCCTCCGCAGCGCACAGGTATTCCCATACCGAGGTGTACCGGCCGGAACCCATTACTGCCCCTATCTCTAAGACAGGAGTGGGCAACCATGACAACTTTATGACTTGTGTATTTCAACTCCCAGAATTCCTAAGCCAGGCTCAAGAATTCTGAGGATTAAAGTCCAAGGTTCATAAAGTCGCCATTGTTGCCCACCCCTCATCACCCCTGGCCTCTTTTAAATATCTTATAGGAATTACATTGGTTTCTAGGATGGTTTATGCTGTTATTTCCTATTGGGGGAAAGTACATGTCATGTTGAGTCACTCACTTAATTGCTGCATATATTTTTCTTTTTAGGTTTGATTTCATCCTAGATAATGTTGGTGGATCTACTGAAAACTGGGCTCCCAATCTTCTCAGAAAGTGGTCAGGGGCCAGATATGTGTCTTTGGTGACACCCTTTTTAGTGAACATGGACAGACTGGGTGTAGCTGATGGCATGCTACGGACTGGCCTCACTATTGGTGCAAAAGTTTTGAAGGTTAGTTAGGAAAAAAGAAGTATTTTTGCTTATGTAAGTGATAAGCTCATGAAAATGTTTGTGGAAGGTTATGCAGTTTTGCTTGCTTTTTGGTGCTTAATGTTCTTTCTCTCTTTCATAGCATCTTTATAATGGGATCCATTACCGATGGTCATTTTTTGCAGCAAATGGTCCTTATCTGGATGAGATTGCAAGTCTTGTTAATGCAGGAAAGGTATGATTAACCTGGCTATTTCACTTTTTGCTATTTGATGGACCCATAATGTTTTGGTTGAAGCCTTTCTGCTAAGTTTAGCAGGAAAGCAACTCGCCAGCAGGTGCCCTCTCTGGTGAATATTCCTAGTGTTTTGTTTTATTTTCCCTATTGTACTATGTTATCAGTAAAGATGTAGTTGGCAGAGTGATCCTCTAGCCTTTTAGTTCCCTTGAGATTAACCCCTTCATCTTGATGTCAGGAAGAGTTCAAGAGCATTAATACCTGCAAACCGGATAAAATAAAATCCGGTTTCCCCCGGATCGGGAAAGCCTTCACTTAGATAGGCTTTGGTTTTTAATTTTATTCCAGGTTAGGAGTTATTTTTAGCATGGTGGAGGGAGCAATTGAATCCCTTTTTTCCCCTTGAACTATTCCTTCTTTTCCTTTATTATTGAATACTTCAGAAAAACAATAGGCAAAGCATATTCAAAGAAAGGTATTGAATTAAATGAAACTAATGGATGTCATGGCAAAAATAACCCTATTTATTGGAAGAAAACCAATCATTCTACTGGCAGTAGATCAGGTAAAGAAACCAACAAAAAAAATCAGGACAGTTTATTGTAACAGCTTTTCTCTCCCTCCGTCTCCCACTCCCTCAGTCTCTCTCTCTCTCTCTTCCTCCTCCCTCCCTCCCTCTCTGCAATCTATCTACCTATCTACCTATCTACCTACCTACCTACCTACCTACCTACCTACCTACCTACCTACCTACCTATCATCTATCTATATGTATCTGCATATTGAAAGCAACTCTGAGATATGTTCTCAAGTTATTTTCTTGACTTGGATTCAAGCCCAAATATCTGAATGTTACGATACCCTTCCTCCGTAACACATGAACTGCATTAATTGCCAATGCTATCAGATGTCCTCCCTTTACATGTGAACTTCTTTTTTTGAATTTTTTAAATTTTAATTGAACAAAAACACAAAAAAAGAATCATCCTTCATTACAACTTGTAGACAGCGTGTCGATTGGTTACAGATAACTTTCGTATATTTCTTCCACAGTCATTACTTATAGTTCATATTAGATTATACACTTTAANTTTTTTTTTTGGTCTCTTTTGAATGGTGTGTAAATGTAATCCAAAGATAGTGTTTTCATTGTCTTGCTAATCTCCTTTTACTGTCACATCACCACCTGCTGACTTGCATGGTTGTGTGTACCGAAAGAAATATTTGTCTTAGTCAGGCTGTTTGGAGTAAACAGTGAATGACATATTATACTAGGTTACACCATCAGCCCTTTTCAGGTTTATTGAAACAATGAGTCTGGATCAACCACCCAGATAAAGGGCTTAATGTACCAAAGTGCTGTGCTCATCAGTCCCAGCCGTCATGACACTTCCTGTCAATGTTGAAGGCCAGCAACCCAATTAGATAGTGGTCTGCAATAATATAGCACAGGGGAGTAGTTTGCTATAGCCTTGAACAAAAATCTGTTTAAGCTGAAAGCAACTTGCTTCTTTGAAAAAAAAATGGATGTTGTTGTGGGCATCATTGAGTAGTAAAATTGTGCCCTCTAGAGAGCAATCCTGAGAATTACATGTTTTTTAAAATCACATTATATGTAATGTTACACATTAGTAGTATGATAGTGTAGCTTCCAAAAGAAAATGATGCAGGGTGAAATCCTGAGTTGTTTTATAGAATTCACAAACTTGAACATTTAAGAATTTCACAAGTTATTTTTATTTGTTAAAAAAAAAAAGATAGGAGCTTAGGGTTGGCTTCTTCAATCTTTTAGCTCTTCTTCAATTTATTTAACTCTTCTTGGGTACACATTTTGGGTATTTTAATGCCCTGTTCTATTGTAAACAAGGGATGAAAAAGGATTTCATTATTTTGAATGAAATCACTCTTGAAGTAGCTCTCCCCTAGTAAGTAGACATTGAACTATGAGGTGATTTTTATGAAGAACCTTATCCTGGCAAGAGATGGCATTTTGTATTTGCCTCCTCTGTCACCAGTCTTTATTTGATTTATCCAAGGTAAAAAATATGGTGCCTGCAAAAATATGACGAGAATTAATTGTAATGTGTTTGTATGTATGTGGGGGTGGGTGGGGTTGAACAGTTGCTCAGCATTTATTCGATAAAACATGTGGTTGTTTGGATAACATATTCCCAGTAAAGAATTTCCTTAAAGCTGGTGGGAGGGAAGGTATTGAAAGTATATTTAGCTTTTGTTGCTTATACTTTTTCACATCATCTACAGTATTGCTTTCATAATTAGTTTCATGTGCAACAATAAGTAAGCAATCAATCATCTGAGAAACTGTTTCATTGCTATAGTTACATTGAAAGGCTTTTGAAAGCTTCAGTGACACCTCTATGAGACAGGCAGGTGTTACAGATCAATTAAAGACACACTGAAATTGGTGGCAGTTTTAAATAACAGTATTTTTCTTCCATGTAGATACATCCAGTTATTGACCAAGTCTTTGAATTTTCTGAAGTTCCCATGGCCTTTCAGAAGATGGAAGGAGGACATGCACGTGGCAAAACAGTGATCAATGTAATTAATAAAAAGTAGTGAAATCTTGGTTCCTGTTTCTTTGTAAGAATTATTTTCTTTAGAAATTCCTATGCTACAAATATTCTGTTAGTCACTTTTAAGAATTCCTACTTCAAAACATGAACATACTCTGGAAGTATATTACTTTAATATTAGCCTTTTAACATTTTCCAACTGAAACTCATAGAATGTTTTTGTGTAGTTATTGTTATTCAATAATAGTGGGGAGTGGGTGAAGAAATAAAAAAAATGGATTATCATGCATTAGTATCAGTGGTGGATTCAAATTTTTTTTACTACCTGTTCTGTGGGTGTGGCTTAGTGGGTCTGGCTTGGTGGGCGTGGTGTGGCAGAGGAAGGATACTGTAAAATCTCCATTCCTTCCCCACTCCAGGGGAAGGTTACTGCAAAATC